TCCCTTTCTTTCACTGGATCCTGTTGTTTTTAATATTTTTTGTGAAGCGTTTTCTTTTTCCTTTTTTTCCTCATTGATTTGTTCAGCCCTTGGGGATATTGTGTTTTACGTTTCGATTTATTTGCTTCGTGCTTCGAGCAGACTCGGTTTAATCTGCTGCTGTCCTTTCTCCACGGACTCAATCTCAGTTTTGTCCCATTTCACTTCTCTTGTTCTGTACCGTGTTCCTCTCAAGTCAGCTTTCCGGAAATCGTAAACATCAGATTTCAAGTCGGCCAGCTCAGTTTCAGAGTGTGCTTTAAAGCGTGTTGTAATCCCGGCTCTCTCACTTCCCTTTGCCCCGGCAGTCTCCAGGGCCCGGCGAGCAGATCTGGAGGAGGCTTCCTCTTGAAGGCCCTCTGGCGAGCTGGGCGGGAGCCGTCGCTCTCCGTGTCGGCCCCTGCAGTGAGGGCACCTCGAGTCTCGCACAAACACTGCTTCTTCTTCATTTCATCACACGGTGTTGAGTTAGAGACCTCTGCAAAGTTGGCCCTCCTGCGTCCAGCGCAAACGATGAAACTCACCGCGTTCTGCAGCGCCTGTGCCGTTGAAAGTACCGCTTTCACTCCCGAGATATAGCGCCTTCTTTATTCAGGGCCACACATGACTCTTGTCGCCGTTGTAGGGGGGCTGAGTGACGCCGCACCCTGAAAAAGACTCTGTCTTCAAGACGAGAGCACGTCAGGCGCTGCTTTTCCAGCACAAACCAGCAGGAACGGCGCGCGGACGAATGCTGTGGGTTTCCTTGCTGAATCATGATCAACAGCTGTGTCTGGTGCTCTACGGTATTGGCCCAACTCTGCAGCTTTGGAATGTTATTCAACTCCGCAGGGATACGGAGACTCCTAATTCCTCTAGCTGTCGTTCCCGAACCTGTGAGGTCTTTGGCATAGAGTGCTGTGCCGTCTCTCCGGAAGGGAGCGTGTCTGCCGACGTTATTCCTCCCCAGCAGTTTCAGCTGAGCAGCTCTCTGGGACTCAATCAATCAATCATTCAATCAAACTTTATTGATCAAAGGCACAACAATGCAGCAGTGGTTGCTGGTAATGAAATGTCTTCTCTACGAGCTCACAGGGGGGGGGGGAGAGAAAAATAAAAAATATTTGTAACGAATTAAGGTGACATAATAATAGATAATAATGTAATAGAAATTGAATGAAATAAACTCAGACAAGACTCAATATGAGTTGAGCTGCTCTGTGTCCAGGGAGTGCAGTGTGCCCATGGCCATGAGGCCACTACAGGTGATTTGCTAAAGGAGCTGCAGGTTGGCTGTCCAGCGGTCATGTTGCCTGGAGGAAGAAGCTGCTCCGTGATCTGTTGGACTTTTGCCGAATTCCAGTGACGTCACCCCCCCAGCGTGGCTGCCTCCTGCCTGCTGCTCCCAGCTCGGCCGTCTCGCTTCTCCCTTGGTCTTTGCTCCCATGAAACTTCATTTTCATTTTCCTTGGTTCCCCACCCTTCCCCCCCAGTTTAAACGTTTCTGGATCTCCTCGTGGATTCGCGGTGTCCGTTGGTCCGTCCCGTCGGTACCGAAGCCCGGGAGATGTCTCCAGTGCCCACGGGCTGTGCAGACGGGTCGGCACCTGGAGTTGCTGTGTTTTAATCTCCTGTAATTTTTTCTGAGGCTCTACTGTATATATTGGGGTTTGAGCTGGACTGTGGTGGGGACAGGTGAATATTGGGGTTCCAGCTGGACTGCGGTGGGGATGGGTGAATATTGGGGTTCAGTCTGGACTGCGGTGGGGACAGGTGAATATTGGGGTTTGAGCTGGACTGCGGTGGGGATATTGGGGAGTATGAGCAGGGAGACGCAGAGGAGCACTACGAACAGCGGTGGTGCCGGAGGCTCAGAGACACCCGTCAGAGTCTGGGCTGCAGTTGTTGCTCTTCTTCCCACAAGAGGGGTGTCTGCAGACGCAGAGCCGCTGTTCTGTCGGGCCATCCCAGCTGTTGCCCCCACAGTTCCTCCCCATGAATGCAAAACCTGCGTCGTGTTTTGCGGAAGTTTTTTTTCTCCTTCTGTAAAACTGAGGGGTTGCTCAACAGCCCTTTGACAAGCTTCCTCTGTGCAGCGCTGCCAACGCCCTCTCTCTCTCTGCTCTCTGTCTCTGCAGGTCCGAGAGCTGGCTGGTAAGTTCCTTGACTTGGCGGGTCTGCGGAGCGCCTGAGCAGGACACACACAGGCGCCGTGGGAAGAGGAGTCCTTCCTGCGCTGTGCCTGGACGCAGCCCTGCTCCCGCCCTGCAGGTGGCGCTGGATTCGCTCTGACACGTTGGCTCCTCATGGGGGCTGCTGGAGGTGCAGAATCTGACCCCGGCCTCTCTCTCCTCCAGACCCTCACCGGACCGGGCCGGAGCCGGAGGCCAGGCCCAGCCTGACCCTCTCGACACTGACGCTGTGCCCGCCCGGACGGGCCCACTGCAGCACCTGTGTCAGGGCCCAGGTGGCGCTGCCCTGCAGGGGTGAGTCTCTGGCCCCTGGACAGGGGGCCCCCTGGGCTCTTCCTCACCGGCCTCACATCACAGGTCATTAACTGCAGCAAACAGTGAAATCAAGAATATCACGCCAAGCTCTTCCTGCTGCCTGTTCTCGTAATGATCTCCGAGAGCCCGGAAAACACTCCTGCAGTTAAAGCCACGTCTCCAAGGCGGAGCTCTTTCGCCCTCTGGTGGAGACCTCTGTCCCTGCAGCACTCCGCCAGCTGCTGGCTTCTGAACGCAGGCAGCACAGAGTGGTCCTTGTCCCCGCCCCGCCCCCAGCTCTGCTTTCACTGCTCTCTGTCGCCCCCTCTCGCTCAGTCTCCCTCATTGCACGTGTCCCATCTTCTGCTCTCAGTTCTGCCCAGAAACATTGTGCTGGACTTCCTGGAGCTGAGCAGCAACCGCCACTGGGAGGTCAGGGTGCGCGGGAGACGCCGTGCCACTACAGAAACCTGGAAAGTAAGAAACCCCTCATCTGTTTTTCCCCTCCGCCACCGGCTCTGTCCTGCGTGCTGCATGGACGGCTCTGATCGGCTCTCTCTCCTCTCTTCCCTCTCCCCTCTGTCTGTCAGTGGCAGGAGCAGAGAAGGGCTTGGAAGATACTGGAGCCCCCAGACCCACAGCTGAATTCGTCACACACACCCAGAACTGTAAGATGTGTCTGTCTGCTGAATCTGACTGGCCCTGTGTCTCTCTGTACTCCTGTCTCCCTCTGTGTCTCTCTGTACTTCTGCGTCTCCCTGCGTCTCCCTGCGTCTCCCTGTGTCTCTCTGCGTCTCTCTGCGTCTCTCTGCGTCTCTCTGCGTCTTTCTGTGTCTTTATGCATCTTTCTGTCCCGCTGCGTCTCGCTGTGTCTCCCTGTGTCTCTATGCCTCTCTGTGTCCTTGTGTCTTTCTGTACTCCTATGTCTCTCAGTGCCTCTTTGTGCTCCTGTGCTCCTCACTGTATCACTCTCTCTCTCTGTCTGTCTGTCCCTCTCAGTGGCAGCTGTCCTATGAGTGTTTTGAGGCAGAGGGGGGGCGTGATGTCCTGGTGTCTGTGTCTAGCAGTGAGCTCCAGGAGCCGGTGAGCGTGGCCTACACGGTGGAGGACAGCGAGAGAGGTACGGCCCAACACACTGTCACTGCAGGGAGCAGCCTGAGAACGTTACAGGAGTGCAGGAGTTCACCATGTGATGTTCTATTCATTATAGCAGATTGCAGTGTCCAATATTTTATTTGAGTTTACTCTGTTGTGGCGTATGACAGTACAACAGTTTATTCTACACTACAGCAGTATGTTGCAGTACATTGTTGGATGTAATTGAATATTACAACGTCAGGTAATTAGATTCAGTTCCTGTAAAGAAGTAGCAGTGTTCAGTCTGGGACACTAACAGCCCACACCTTGTTTTTGTACCTGTTGGGAAATCGTGAACTCCCACTGCTATAAAGTGCTGG